TTCAGTGGACCACATATAATCAATTGACAAATAAAGAGTAGCATTCAAAGTTTTTCTTATTTAGAAAAATCATAAATAAAATAGTAATCATCAAGAAAAAATCCCTTTGTGAAACGTCAACCAAAACCACAATGTCAAAAATAACAATGCATAATATGAAACATATCACTGCATAATGACAAGCATGCCACTGCATAATATTAAAAAAGCTAAACGCAAAGAAATACTTTGATCTGCCACATACAATGTCATGTTTCATATTAGAGTGTCAACAATGAAACTGTAAAAAAATCATTGCATAATGACAAACATGTCACTGCATAATATTTAAAAAGCCAAATGTAAAGAAATATTTGATTTGCCACATACAATGTCACGTTTCACATTAAAGTGTCAACAATGACATTTTTAAAAATAAAGTTAAAAATCTCCCAATATCTAACGGTATCTTTCGTGAAAGGGTTGAGCTTCACATAAAGAGAGAGTGCAAAATTGTATTTCTCCCTAACTCATTCCAAACATTATAATAAAAAGAAAAACTAAAGTATAAAAAATTAATCTAAATGATTTAAAAAATGAAACAATTGGCTAATCCCACTCCACGCAGAGTAGGAACAAAACTTTATCAATTAATAAAAGATCAGCGGAGAAAGGGGATAGGCAATAGTGTTTGAACGGAAAGTGTAACACCCTAATCCGTCTAGGTCTGCAGCCCTATTCGGACTAAAGTATTTAACTTGGTAATCGTAAGAATTTAAAACTTTTCAGACACACTTTATTAATTCCAATAATTTTTCATAACATATACAGTACGGAGTATTCAACAATATTGCGGAAGCGAATTTAATTTTGACAGATCATAAATCATTTCAAACTTGTCACATCCATCCCGACAATCTCGCTCCATCTGCTGCCAGGATCACAGTGTTCTTTCTGTTGTACCTGCGTGTAGCAAATAAAACATACTACACGCTCAACGGTAAAGCTGAGTAAGCATATCTAATGCGTCGAACATCCATATAAACTGAATCTAAATTCATAATCAAATCATTTGATATCATGCACACAATGTTCATTTCAGACATTCATAGTTTTGGTATTGTTCAGTTCACATCAACACATTTTATTCAATTCAGATACTATTTCAATAGTGCTCTTAAATTATTCTTAATCTAAGGCCAGATCATAACAACGCTCGTAGCTATTCTTAGTCTAAGGCCAGATCATAATAATGCTCTTAGCTATTCTTAGTCTAAGACCAAATCATAATTTCCATAATCACATTCTAAAAAGGCAATTATTAATCAGACACTTAAACTATCATTAGTTTAAGGCAATTGATTTCGGACACTTAACTGTAGTCAGTTAAGGCAATCAGACACTTAAACTATCTTTAGTTTAAGGCAAATGATTTCGGACACTTAAATGTAGTCAGTTAAGGCAACAACAATATAACGATTGGTCAACATTGGATCGGGCATTCCCAACGAGTAATCCTCTAGTTTGGTCTACGAATCCCGTTTATGCATTTATATCTAATTCATCAACTATTCATGTTTTCATAAGTTCATTCTAAGATCTATTCTAGAGGTCTTCTAGATAGTCTTAACATTAATTAGCTAATGGGTATATCTTAAAGTTCTTCTAGATATCCTTAACAATACACATCATTTTCTTGTTTATCAATATATTCATTTTGAATTATGTTTCAATAATTCATAATCATAATTTAATTCAAGATAGTCAAACAAACATATCTATTCATGATTTCATCTTTACAGTTCATTCGTTTAATTCCATACACTATTATTTTGTTAGAATAAAATCATGATCGTTATGTAGTGATAATCACTCAGGTCGTCCATTTGATAATCATAATCGATATTATTATCAATGATAATCCATTATCTATTATAATAATCATTTATTCAGAATATTATCAAGTTTGATCATAATAGTCATAGTAACATTTATTAACAAATAGCGGCCAAGCGTTGAGTATAAACACCCTAGCTTATCGTCATGCATCAAATAAGATCCTTTTAGTTGTCAAAACTTCATTTATATTCCAACAAATCATATTTACATTAATCATAATTCATTAATATCAAAAATAAGATTCCATAGTTCAAAAATCATGTCTTCTAAACAATAATTGATTAATATATGATAGGAATTTCAAATATTAGCTATTAGCTTCATTTTCTTCAATGGTAAAGGGAAACAATCTATTGTCACTTCTGATAATCTACTGTCTGATGTTTAGAATGGGCTGACAATCGATTATCACACTCTGATAATTGATTATCCAACTTCAGAGAGGGCTGACAGTCGATTGTCACATTCTGACAATCGGCTGTTGCTCAGCTTTGTTCCAAAAATCTGCAGAACGATGAATAACCGATTTTCAGGTTGATAATCGATTATCCATCGTCTTCTACCTCGAGCCAACTTGAGGAAATGTCACTTTTACTTACCAAACTTCAATTAAAGTATATAAAAGTGTTCTCCAAGGTTCATAGATCATTTTGGCATCATTAATTCATAGTTTTAACATCAAAATCATGGTTTACGATTCTTAGTTCTTCAAGCATGTCAAACACAAAACTCAACCAAATGAACGTTTATGAACGTAAAATCGATCTATATGAACATTCTAGTCACTAGATATATCTACGGGCTTATCTCGAAGCTTAATGGAGGTTTTGGAAATTTTCTGGAAAAACTTCCGGCGATGATATCTCTTAGCTCCGGCGATTCCACACCAAATTGACAACACCAACGAACTCTCCACTCAACAAGGAACACAATGATACTAAACTTAATAAGTTTTGGTGCAAAAATGGAAGTTGGTTCTCCTTCCTTAAATAGGAAAAATGAAGAAGAAGGAGACAATGGTGAAGTGGTGCTGCGTAGGAAAGTTTCTAGTGCGCTGGGAGGCGCCGTCTCCACAGTGTCCCTGACTGGGACCAATTTTGGTTCCAGTCGGGGTACACTTTTTGGTCCAACTTTCTCCAAATTGAAATCCGTTTGCACCGTTGCGATCAGACAGTCGAATTCTATTCAACGATATACTTTTCATAATTATTTGTAATACTTTTTCCGACATCATATTTTTGGGTGGTTGACTTTGATAGAGTAAAAATTGGTTTAATTGACCTTTCTCATAAAAGGTTCTCTTATTTAATTCATATCTATTATTCTCATGATTTATTTTAACAAATCATTTAAATATTTACATTATAAACAAATTCTTCATTTACTCTTGATTTGGGTCTGTACTATGGTTCCCAATCAATATCACACAATTAGTCAACATATTGGATTTATCTCTATGAGACTTATCCAGATTTTGATATTGGAAATTAAAACATATTTCATATCGGCCCAAAGCCCAACAATAATTTATTTTAATCAAAACAAATTTGATTAATTGAATTATTCATTAATAATTTTAGGGTATGTTTTGGGGCGTTACAGAAAGAATTATCAATCTAGAAGGGTAATTGGGGAGATCGGGTAACAAGGTGATGAAGAATTAATTCAGGGCGAGGAAGGTATGCGAGAAAAGCTTGAACTCCTATTTTGGGTATATAAGTTAGGGACTCCTATTTTGGGATATGTTTAATATTTTTTTCCTATTTAGGCGGGTTTCTTACAAAAGAATCATGCTAAACTCATGTAACCTCAAAAGCGTAAGTCTAATTATGACCCCAACTTTTACACAAAACCATACAAATTATTGTTGTCTATGCGATGATTTATGGTAGTTCGTGTAAATCTTGGAGTTGAGTTACCTTTTAAGAGTTTAGGAATTTTCCTAAATTTATTGAGATTTTCATGGACTACAAGTTTTTTGATTATTTCACTTTAACATATGAACTTTAAAAACTACAGAGTATTTCAAATTAAAATACATCAACTTCAAAATTCTTTCACCAAAAATTCATTAGTAGATTTTTCAGGTGACCGGCAGGTCACTTAGGACCAAATTATAGTTTTATAAATCTAAGTTTTTATTATTTTAACCACATTTATTTCTTTCTTTTAGCTTTCTCTCTTCTCTTCTTCTTCCAGTCCACTCTATAAGAATCATTCGTTACACAACTATCTTGGGATCCATCATGAAGGTCATGATATAAACCGAATACATGTTATGAGCAGATAACATGCTAAGTCACTACGTCAAAAACAAATGCTGACAACTGTTTTTTAGTAGTCTCTGGGTGCTGATTTCAGTAGTCTTCCGAGCAACTGTCTGATATATTTACAGACTATTGTTTAAAAACAATTGTGTAAAATGGTTGACGACACCTATTTTGTAATGTTTTAGAGTACCACCTTTTAGTGTTGTCCTTGTATGAGTAAGACACCTGTTCTTTAGAGTTAAAGAGAACTGTAATTTTTTGTTGTCTATCTATAATGAATACTACTGTTATTTTTTACTTCAGACTCCTAATTCTTGGTGTTGTCATTCAACAATATAGACATCTACTTTAAAAAGTAATTGAAAGATATATGAGACAGCTGCTCGGAAGACTACTAAACAAAAATAGCATCAGACAACTGTTATCTTTTGTTGTATTTCTAAAATATGGGCTACTAACACTATTCTTATTCAAACTATTGTTAGTTTTAGTTGCATATTGATTATTAACACAACAGTGTTTTGTAGTTTTCCTTGAAGTATTCAAACTATCTTTTATGACAGTAGTTAAATTGTTTATCAGACAGCTACTCTAAAGATTACTAAAGAAATTTGCTTCAGACAACTATTATTTCATGTTGTATTTTAAAAATATGAACTACTATTTTTGTAGTATTTCAAACAACTGTTTGTTTTGATTGTCTAAATGTTATCAACACTACGGGTTTGTGTAGTTGTACATACACTTTTCAAACTATTCATTTGAATGGTAGTAGAATTTTTTAATAGACATCTGTAATCTTGTGTTGATTACTAGATAAATATAAATTCAAAAAATACAATATATCGAACAATATATAAATTCATACATTTAAAATATTATTAATATGGAATAATTTCATATTTACATCATCTTCCTAACAATTTAAATATTTTACATGCCTACCTCTTCAATCCATCTATTCCTATGATACAGGTTGTTGCACCTATAGAGGAACAAATGAGGAACCCAATCCTTGAGAATCTTCTTGGATTGAACTTGAATCTCCCACCTGCCAGCAGAAACCCAATAACTCCTGAAATGATCGTTGTGAATCATGAACCAATTGTTGGAGACAACCACATAGAATATATAATGTCTAGTCATTACAAAGAGTTGGTTGAACTTGCTATTGAAGGGACAAGTTCAATGAAGGAGGAGGAGCTGAAATTCCCCATAACAAACAGCTTGATTGTTGGTTTTCACAGCAAACGACAACCTGCTCTTCGAGCAAAAAGAGGCTCTTCAATTTGGTATCCAGGAATTTATATGCAAGTTTCAGCATCTATTGCACCTCCATTAATGCCTCATATAAATGTGGATGAATCTGCTCAGGTGTTCAATGAAAATAGTGAAGTGGAGTTAGCATTGCCCAGAAAAACGTGAGGGGTTTTACTTTTCGCATAGGATGAAAGACATATTCTATAACCCACAAGTATAAAAGAAAGGAAAAAGAAGTTAATAACCCACAAGTATACATCATGAAATGCCGTGCGAATTCAATCCTTATCTCATACATGTCATCCTCAAGCTAGTACACATGTTTATGTTACCTAGTACATTTAGCTCAAACTTTGCCGTGCATGTCTTTTAGCTCATACATTTACTAAATGCAGTGCATCTAGTACATCTAGTAAATGCCCGTCATCCAAATAATTATCAAAAATTCAAAACCACACAAGTTTATTTTCACAAACTTTGTAAAAATAAAATATGCCAGATAAGCCTAAAAATGCAAACCATATGGGCATTTAATGTGTGAATCTTGTTAAAAGAATTGTACCTTGAACTTTAGGGACTTGAAGTAGTTTACTCAATGAATTCCTAGTACGGGCATATACCTCTGGCCTCGACCCATGCTTGAACGATTCATTCTCAATAAACCTTTGTAACAAAACCCAGAATAGTTGAAACTGCTGGGCGCTAAGGTTGTAAATTGTGGAATCTTCAGGTTGGCCGGATATTTTCTGCATCAACTGTGTGTACTGGCAATGAAGTACCTCCCATGTCAAGCATAAATGAGCTACATAAGCTTTTCAAAACATATTAACTAGTTCTGTAATCCTTATTCGAATCCAAAAAATACCTTCAACACACACATCTTGGTGAAAGCTTTGTTCATTACTTTGCCCAAGTTCGTGTTATAATGGTTCAAGCCACCATTACAAGCTATAATGGAAGAGAAACATAGCAGAAGGTAGCACACGCCAAGTCCAGGACAGTCCTCAACAGAACAAAAACAATAACAAAGAACATGAACACGAGACAAATAATATCAAGGAATTCAAACCTCAGATATTATTCAAATTCAGCACTTGCATAACAACAGGTAACAAGAAATTGGAACAAAGCAAGTGTACAGCGGCAGTAAACACCAATGTCACAACAAAAACCAGACCCATACATGCCCAGTGGTACACACCCTGAAGCACACAAGGTTCAGAATAAGAAAAACCATAGAATTAATCAACACTTAAAATAATCCACAAGGTTCAGAGCAAGAAAACCCATAGAATTAATCAACACTTAAAATAATCAACAAGGTTCAGAGCAATAACAACCGTAGAAGCGCATAAGTTTGTTCAAACCCCATTTCAAGGTCAACACAAACAACTCTTCAACAGACCAAACGAAACTCCATAGAATTAATCAAAGAACAAGCATGAAGAAGTACAAAAAATGTTCAATGTCCCGAGATGAACAGTGAATTCATAATCACTAGAGATCCTCAAATCGATTGAAAAATCAATTGGATAAGGAATTCACGTTCATACCTTGAAAGGGAGCTCAAAACACTCTGAAATTCAGAGATGTAGCCTTCAAAATTGCTTGGACCAACACAAATTAACCAGAGAGGATCGGAAATGAACAAAATCTGCCATGCGTTGACCTTCGAATCTTTAAAATCAAGGTCCAAAAACAGTGAAATTACCTCTTATGCGGAATCCCCTGCAGTAGGCGAAACTAGAGCTCCAAAAATCTGGAGCAACAAGCTCGGATTGACGGATTAATCGGCAAGAACAGCCCTCGCAGTACTGTTCATGTCGCGAACGAGAAACCCCCATTTAGAGCTCTTCCATTGAGACCTCATTACGACTTCTTCTTTATGGCCATAGATGTAGTGGACAAGAGCTCCATCGTCACCACGGCGGCGGATCTTGAGAGCAGGGAGGAGATTGACACTCTAAGAGGATTTGAGGGTGTAATTGAATGTTGAAAACAAAGAGATAAGAAAAGAGATAGAGAAATGTATTTGGACAGGTTCTCGGCAAGGAGTCAACTTTTTAGTGGGAATTCAATTTTTTTACTTTAAATTTTTGGGTGGACTTTTTCCCACTTAAATAAAATTTCATCTTGACAATATTTTTTTGAAGGGAGTTCAATTTTTTGAGGGGAATCCAATTGTTTTGAAATTTGTTCATTTCGTTCAGAACAAAAAATTTATTATATACTCCCTCCGTTCACAAGTAAAGTTCCTGTTCACTATTCACGGAGTCAAACTTTATTCACTTTGTTGGCATATTTTCGTCACCAATTTGATAAAATAATATAGTCATGTCACCTCTAGTTTTGTAGATCTTTTGATATAGTTTTTTAATATGTAATTTTTATTTTTAAATTTCACATCATTTTACATATAAAATGATTCGAAAATAACTTTAGTCAAATATCTTAACGCGCAACTAGAAGTTTACTTGTGGACGGAGGGAGTATATTCTTAAAAAAAGTATTACCAAATTTTATACATTCTCCATCCCAAAAAGATTTTCACAATTTGACTTTTTTAGTCAAATTGTGCAACACTTTGACTATAATTTGTGGAAAAAGTATATTTATTTATAATATAAAGTTATTAAACTTAGGTTCTTATTTTGAATTGTAGTTTTGATATATTAAATTTTACAACATATAATTATTTTAAATTATATTTAATTTGAGCTCAAAGTGTGTCATGGTTTGACCAAAAAAGTTGCCCCTGACTTATTGTATTTCAAAAAAACACAAACAGATAAGATTATACCAAATCAGATAACTGCATCTCAGTTTAACATGTTTATATGTTGTTTAGATGATATCTAATCAAACCATATCTCACCAAATAAGATTAAATCAAATCGAATCAATTTTTTTTAAATATAACTACAATTAGATCAAGCAGATTAAATATATTCCAATTAGATCTTAATTAGATAAGATAAGATGGGATAAGATAAAATCAAATCCAATCAGGTTTGATTGCTTGTATATTTCATGCGACCCACTGCATCTCAGTTTATCATGTTTATATGTTGTTTACATTATATCTAATCAAATTATATTAAACCAGATCAAATTAGAAAGATATTTTAAATATAACTAGAATTAGATCTAGCCGATTAGATCTAATCAAATAAGATAAGATAAGATCAAATCAAATTCAATCACATCATATTGCTTGCATATTTCACGTGAGCCACTGCATCTTAATATATATAACATGTTTATATGTTGTTTAGATGATATCTAATGAAATCAGATCTCACCATATCATATTAGGCTAGATCAAATTAAAAGAGTTTTTAATATAATTAATCGGACTAATTAGATCAAATTGGACAAAAACAGATCTAATCTTCAAAAATTATCGAATCAAATCAAATTCAAATCTAGTAAGATCATATCAAATATTTAAAAAAATCAATTTAATTGTATAGGTCGTGTCATATTTGTTTGATCTAATCCTTAAATGTGTCATATCAGATCTAATTAGATTGAATTAGAAAAATAGATCTAATCAATAGATAAAATTCAAATCCAATAAGATCTAATCTTCAAAAAAAATCAATTTACTTGTCAAGGTTGTATCTTATTTGCCAGATATAATCTATAAATACATTACTACAGTCATATTCAAATCCAATAAGATCAGATATAATTTTCAAAAAAAACATCAAATCAAATCAAATTCAAATCTAGTAAGATCAGATCAAATATTAAAAAAAAACAATTTTAATTGTATAGGTCGTGTTAATAAATTTGCTTGATCTAATCCTTAAATGCATCATATCAGATCTAATTAGATTGAATCAAACCAAAATAGATCAAATCAAATCAAATTCAAATATATTAAGATCAGATCAAATTAGATTGAATTCAAATTAAATTCAAATCCAATAAGGTCAGATAGATATGATCTTAAAAAAAATAGATCTAATTCTTCTAAATACTCATATTTTTGATCGTATAAGATCTTACAAGTATTGATAACTGAACTTGTTACTTGCACTGATTCAATTCCTTAGGATATTCATACTTTTGACCGTATAAGAAGGTACCAGTACTGATAACTAAAGTGGTTACTTGCACAGATCCAATTCTTCTAAATACTCATATTTTTGGCCATATAAGATCTTAGTGGTACTTATAATAACAAGGTAATTGCACAGATCCAATTCTTCTAAATACATATACTTTGATTAACGTGTAAAACCCCGTGGTTTTTAAAATCATATTTTTTGCAATTTGGTAAAAAAATGACACATAAAAAATTATATTTAAAAACTACATCGAAAACTCTACAAAATAAGAGGTGACAAGAGTATTTTATTTTATCAAATGATCAACAATGTTACATACAATTTCACTTAGATCAGATCAAATCAGACTAGATCTTAACATATTAGATCAGACAAGATTAGATCAAATAAGATATCATCAAATTACATTAAATCGTTGTTGGAAGAAACTGGAAGGACATAGAAAAAATGACAAGTTTTTCCTCTTCCCAATTTCATTCTCCCTCTTCCCAATTATCACCAAATTCATTTTCCCTCTTCCCAATTTCATTCTCCCTCTTCCCAATTATCACCAAATTCATTTTCCCTCTTCCCAATTTCATTCTCCCTCTTCCCAATTTCATTCTCCCGCTTCCTAATTTTGTTTTTCCGTTCAAAGAACACCACTCACTCAATAGCCCAACCTTATCCAACCTTAATCGCCATCACGCCTGTGTTGTTCGAGAGCAAAGGATTCGCTGAGAGCCTTCGCCGTCAGTCCTAGCCATCGCCAATTTTCCGAGAGCCTTCGCCGCCAGTCCCACTACCCAGCGCCGACTGCCCAGTCGCCAATTCATACCCTTCGCCGTCAGTCCCACGCCATGGAAGGTACTGTTCACTCGAAGTTTTATCTCTCCGATTCTATTGAATCCAGACACTTTTGATGGCTAATCTTGTGATATGTTGAGCGGTTTGCGATACCCCTCCTTCTTTTAAAGCTTGATTTCAATTTCATTTGAATTCCCTCATGATTTGAGATTTTTTCGGATTCGTATGTACTGGATTTCGACTGCGGTTCTGTCAATTTTTGCTTGCTTTTTTTATTAACTTTGTTGTTGCGCTGGGTTTGAGAGGTTGTTTATGGTGTTTTAACAACATTTATTTAAGGGATTGAAATTTGTGGAATGACCTGCTGTTCTTATTGATTATGAACTGTGTTCTTGCCTTCGTACTGGTGTTCTTGCTCTATGAACTCAGTTACTGCCTGGGTGAGGCCTTGCAGCTGTGTTCTTGAAGGAAACCAATGTGTTGATGTTCATGGTCAGGAATACTGCACTGTAAATGCTCATGTCTTCCCAGGTCATCTGTTCTATGCTTATTGACGGCTTTGGCCAAGGTTTTGGAGTTGAACAGTGGCTTTCTGGTGGATGGACTGATTGAAGCGTTGACAATTGTGGTCTGTTTGGAAATTGATGGGGGGAGGGAAACTTGTGGTACACCATTTCATTTTGTTCATTGCAAAACAAAATAGAACAGGTTATCTCGACAACTACAAAATGGAATGGATATTACTGGAGTTTTCCCCGTGAGGTTTTTGGAACCTTTCTTATGTCCTCTCTTCACTGCCTCACCTTTATGATTTTTTTTACAGACTACAGAGGGGGCATTGTGAGTTACTGTCAAGTTGAAAGCTTTAGTAGTGTACTTGTCCATAAATGTTTTTGTTACATGTGCTGCAGATTCTTCCATTAAGCATAGTACGCTCAAGGATGTGGCTTGTGGTAGTCTAAACAGAATATGAGAATAACTTTGAAAGGCACGGTTATCAACAATCCTCTTTGGGAAATAGGTACTTTGATAGCTCGTGTTTCAGTCAATCACTCGTAGAAAAAAGAAGCTCCTTCCCCTTTTATAGTTTCTGCATCCTTGGCTAAGCAAGAATCTTTAGTCCATGTATTAGTTCACAGCCTATCTATTATCTAGAATCTAAAGTGCTTAGTAGAGAACCAGGACATGATAAGTAACAAAATGTTATTCTTGATCCACATGAGGTTAAAATAGTATGTACAAATGATGCTCATGAGGTTACTTTTGCAGCATCTTTTTGTTTTTAAGCATAATGACTGGGTTGTGGCTAATTGTGCAGGTACTCCTATTCTGTTAGCAAATGAGAGTTTGGTTGTGAAAGTTATTGCTCCAACTAAAGCAATCTTTGATGCTAAATTATTATTCAAAAAAGATTTTCCTAATACTTTTGTAACTACCTGAGAAACTATCTTAGAAGTAAATGGTACTGTAGTAAGCCATTTTATTGATAAAGAGCATTTTTATTAATTCTTATTTGAGATGATGAGGATTTTTAATAAGTCACTCTTTTGGCAGCATGACGTTGAGATGCTTTGTTAGCATAATAACATTTTTATACTATTTGAGCTACTTTTCTTAGCCTATTAGCTCAATGGTAGAGTGCCGTGTGCAAAAGTGCATGGAGATGTGGGTTCGAGTCCCACATAGGCTTTTTATGAATTTAAAATATTAAAAAATGTTTGTATTTTTGTATGTGTGATATTTTAATAGTCTAACTATTATTTAAGAATGGTATTCTTAATTTATTATAGACAACTTGTAATAGATTACGGTTTCTATGAATTTCAAAAACAGTTCTACGCTATATAAATACACTACTATTACAAAGGTGTCCTCTATTCTTATAATAAACAATTGTGCAAAAAAACCATATGAAACATACAACTAACAATATATTACTATTTCTTATAAGTTTAAAAACAGTTATACATTGGGAAACTAGACTTCTGTTAAGAAATAGTAGTCTTAACTAATTATTGACAACTGTGGCAATAAAAACTGTATTTTTTTATGAAACCGACTACTAATAATAGATTACCGTTTCTCACAAGTTCAAAAATAGTTCTACCCTTAATTCATAGACTATTGTTAGAAAAGAGTCTTCTATTCCTATTATAAACAACAGTGGCAAAAAAACCATATGAAACAGACAACAAGCATTAGATAACTGTTTCTAATAAGTTTAAAAACAGTTCTAGACTAAAAACCCAGACTATTGTTTAAATAGAGTATTCTTAACTTGTTATTGACAACTGTTCTAAGAAAAACTGTATTTTGAACTGATACAAACAACTAATGATACATTACCGTTTCTCGGAACTTTAAAAATAGTTTTAAAGCATAGCATCTAGACTACCGTTCTGTAGCCAAGAAAAACTTACAGTATGTTTTTTTACTACTGTGTTTTCATAAACAGTAGTTAATCAGCAGTCGTCTGATACTGTTTTTGGCATAGTGAGTCAATTATGGCTACATAACAAAATGAGCCTCTTTAAAGGTGCTTTAGAGACCACCCAATAGTGGTATAATGTTTCAATGGAAAAAATCATCATGCGTGATGCTAGCTTCTACATTCACTTGGTAGAAACATCTCAAAAAGGTTACATGCATTGAATAACGGTGTAATGAGCTAGAAGAGCTTCAAAACACTACCGTAGATTTTAACTACAAGTATATAGTACATATCAGCTTTTGAAGTAGGTGAAAAAGTATTTTGGTCGAGAGCTTCAAGATCAGTATCATTCTTAGTATAAAGAAGCTGCCCATTGTAGTGACAACCATGGATTATTGCATAAGCTAATGAACCACAGCCTCACCAAGACCAAACACGCCATCAGATGTAATATCATTATACAATAGATTGTACAAATGTGAAGATTTTGCAAAATATAAACAAATGACAACTTTTTATAACCATGGACCAATGCTTTGAGAATGTCTAAATATGTGGATTGCACGAATTTAATAAGCATTATTGTAATGCATGATTGGCCATAGTACAAGTGGAGATAAATGAGTTTATATTCCGAGGTAGCCAATCATATGATGATTATCTCTTATGTTCATCATGAAAAATAGGTCGTGAAGATTGTTTATACACCTCGTGTATGTAAACATAGTTTTAGTCCATAGACTTAGTGTTATAGTAGCATAGGTTATAACTACAACGTTCTAATTATGAGGTTGTTATATTTAAATAGGTTATTTCTAAAATGTTCTTAGTCGAACTAAATCTTATGATAATAGAGATATCATAATATAGTGAAACTAATACATATAAGAAAAGATAGTTGCATCTTATAGACTATGGATATTGTGATATGTTAATCTGTACGTAAGTACATGTGTGGGATATGGTACTAGACTGACCCACCATGAGAATACTACATGTGTATTATTTTAATGTGTTAGTAGTATTCTCATTCAACCATTAGTGTAACTATCCTTTGACTTGAGTCATTAGAATCTTTAATATGTTGATCTACATGTTTTGACTCATAACGGATGTCATCTAAAAAATTTTTTGTAACGACCCGAAAACCGGCTTAGTAGTTAGCCGTTATTTTGAGAAAATAAATACAATGTTTTATTTTATTTTTCTGGCCCAAAAACATAAACTATTTATGAACTATTTATAGACGCTTCCGTATGAACACTTACGTGTTCATTGTTGTTGCCTTGACCGTGGGCGGTTTCTTGACTCATTCTACAAAAATCAGAAACTCCTTTATTAGGATTCTTTATTTGAATAGTTGAGTTCATGGAAGAAATCACAAGGGAATACAACAATTGATACATTCAAAGGATTTGGGAAAGAAACAACAGGATTTATTCTAAACGTTCGCATTTAAATAATTGGAACGTGCCGAATCTACAGAGGGGTCCTCTACACTGGATTCGCAGATACTGTTTGCATAGTCTACACTGAACGTCTCTTCTGGATCATCTTGCTCCCACACAGCTTTGCGGGGTAGATAGATTTTTCATTTCATTATTCTCGCGATGCGATGCGCACATTGATAACGTATTGGGGAGTCATAAACTTTTTGTTTATCCTTCTGTCTCTTGTCGAGTACGAAAGTTCGACTTGAGTTAACACTCGATATCATTTTAGAGTTAACTGTTGACATCTATGAAAATTTAATACAGTCAAATTCAATGCTTAAATTTGGTTACCTTCCTAGAGCAGATCGGGTTAAATCCAATACTTAAATCCAATACAGTCAAATTCAATACTTAAATCCAAATTTTATTCCGAAGATCAGGTTTAAAACCATTTGTTTCGATACCAAATTGTAACACCCTAATCCGTCCAAGTCTGCAGCCCTTTTCGGACTAAAGTATAACCTTGGTAATCATAAAATTTAAAATATATCAAACATCTTTATCATAAATAATATTCAATACATAACTGTAGAAATACGAAGTGTTTAATAATGCGGAAGCGAATTTAAATCATGTCTCATGACAATCACAATTAATTATTTAAATATACACATCCATCACGACCATCTCGACCCATCTACCTCTAGGAATTCATCACTTCATTCTTTTTGTTTACCTGCGTGTAACAAATAAAATATACTACACGCTCAGTGGTAAATCTGAGTAAGCATATCTAATGCGTCGAACATCCATATAAATTGAATCTCAATTCATACTTAATTCATTTGATATCATGCACATAATATTCAATTCAAGCATTCATCTTTCGTGATATTCATAATATTTTTATTCGAATCATTTCATGACATATGCAATATTCCATATTCAGTATTTCAATAGTGCTCTTAAATTTTTCTTAATCTAAGGCCAAATTATTTTGGTAACAAGCTCATAGCTATTCCTAGTCTAAGGCAATGTTTCTAACCGGACTCTTAAACTATAAATAGTTTAAAGCCTTAAACTATTTATAGTTTAAGACTCTTAGGGTGGATCATCGATTTTTGTGTTATGCCTTAAACTCGGTTGGTACTAAATCCACAAGACTCATAGGGTGGATCATCGATTTTTGTGTTATGCCTTAAACTATTTTAGTCACATAGTCAAACTCTACACAACGATATAATTTTCATTATTTATTGACAAACTTTATAAATCACTTATATTTGGGGCGTTACAATAAGAATCATTCATATCATCATTCATATCATGGCATACCGCTGAGGAGGTCATGCCTAGTGCGCCTCTTAACGCGGGGCCATTTAGGAACCTTCGGGTCCAACGAGCATCATTTGGGTGCTTTGTGTACGTACATTGTAATCCAGATTTCGAATACAACCCACAATATTCTAGTCTCTTTATTAGACTAAGGTCTGTCTGAATTATAACCCTCGTGGTGTGATCTCGGAGCGCAAGGGGTCCTAGCACGGCTAACTCATGCATCATGAACTCAGATGGTTATTCGGTTAAATCATTATGTGAAACACGTACGTTAAGTACATGTATGATTATGTTTGTATCTATATGGTTTACCACCATGTATTCACTTGTTACAGTTACCAACCAGCTTATGCTGAGCGTATACTATTGTTTTTGCTATATGTAGGTAGGAATCATGAACTTGGATCCTGTCCCGGAGGTCAATGAGAGTGAGGAGATGTATGGACGACGGACGTGGATTATTTCTCCTTCTTAAATTACTTTAAATCCTTTTCAGGCTTGAACCCACCCTTTTCGTATTTTAATCATGGACTGTTACTTTATTTAGCTTCCACGTTGGACTATTTTATTTTACCCCGTTATGTTTTTGTTGGATTGTTTTTCCAACAGTTTTTACTAAATAAATATGACAAAGAATTTTGGTTTTTCTTAAATGGATGATCCTTAATACCATCTATGTAACCCCTCTGGCCCGTCGGGTTGCGAGCGAACCGGATCCAACGAGTTGGGGGTGTTACATTCTACCTTCTCTGACTCCCCTAGGTAAATCTCCTTCCAATCCTGATCCCAACTCATCCCACACCCACGTTAACTGCTGCCCCAAAGTCAACTCAACTTGCGGGGTACAATTAAATAAATTAAGATATCTATTAAAATAGAACATTAAAGTGTAATATGAAACTTAAAAATTAAAGTTTTAGTATTTATGTCTTTTAGGTCCAGTATGATTATTAGGTGCAGTTAGTCTAATCGGTCTAGACCTAAATCATTTCGAGTTTGGACCAGACCAGATCAAAACCGAATACCTAAAATTTTTGGACCGAAGACCGACTGGACCTAACGATCCGATTCGATTGGTTTTTTTGGTCTAGACCTAAACATGAACGGCCTATCAGATCAAATTCAATCAGATCAGATCAGAACTACAAAAATCTAATCAGATCAGAAAAAATAAGCTTAACAGAAGGGAGCCTAACTCTCGGAGTGCTTAATTTAAAAGGAAATTTCTAAGAATTAAACCATTTCTAAACCCAAATCCCCATTACAAGAAATCAAACGGGCGTACAATCGAAATGATTGTGGATATCACGATGACACGTTGGAGGCCAACAAAGTCCCACACCCCACACGTGGCAACCAGTGGGAGGCTTTCTCCGATCGCTCGCAATTCTCACCTCTTATCAAAACCTTCCAATAAAATGCTGTAAAATATCTACTCAAAGTCCAGACGTTCTCTCTCATCATGCTGCAGAGCTCCTCCCTTTCCGACTCCTCCAGAAGCTAAACTACCGCCGCGCCATGTCTTCATCTGCCATTTCTTCTGCTCTATGCCTTCCCTTTTCTCGATCGAGCTCCTCTAAGTCATGCTATAGAAAGGTGCTCTTCTGCTCTGCTTTAATTTCATTTCCTTTTCGTTAATTGTGGTCAAAATGTTATTGTCTTTCGGCATGGTTGAAGCAGCTAAAGATGAAGTTTGTGAATGAAAATAAATATGCATTTCTACGCAATTAGATTGATCATTTTATGACTTCACTTTTGCCTATGTGAAACGTGGGCGTGCCTTTTTCTTTTTCTGTGCTGATCTTTCAAAGTGAGTGAGGGGAGTTGGGATTTCATTAAAATCTTATTACCTGTTCGTAGTAGCGAAATTGTGCATGTATTTTCTTGATGTTTGAAGCTATGTGCAAATGGTACATCAATGTTTTGTGTGTGTGTGTGTGTGTGAGATTTATCATATACTCCGTATCAAATCATTACACTGTTTTAGGTCTGACATTAGTTTATCTTGCCCAAAATTATTGCTCACTCAGTCACTCGGCATTATTTGATGAAGATCAATAATTACTTAAAACTAAATTTTTTGGGGGAATATTACCTTAATAGGAGGAAAAGAATGCATTTTTTATTCAAACAAGACCCATATATGTTTTATGCTTTTAAGAAAAAGGCTCATAATACTGGCTCAAAAATGTTTTTCCTACATATTGGCTAAAAGCTCATCCTTCCCCCAATGGCTCAAAATTCCATTTTTTCTAAAGAGGTGTTGAGTGAGATCTGACATGTGACATTTTTCCATTATATTCATCCCCTTGGATTGCTAACATAAGCCCATAGCTCCATATGGATACAATCCGACCTGATTATGTAACCAATATGGGTTTTGAGTATTGTTTTCATGTTTTTGATTTTGTCATCCTCCATGACAATCACCATGCCCTTATCTGGTCTTCAATGGGCGACAGACAATGAAAGGTTATGGTTGACTAGTTGAGTGTTAATGGGTAGTGGGGATAGGGTCGTTGGTAATGTGGAAGAGAATGGGTTTCTTGGATAGTGAAAACATTAGCGTTATGCCTCAATGGGCAACGAGGCTTGTTGATGTGCAGTGTATGTGGCGATGTTTGATCAGTTGCTGGAAGCAATAGGAAGTGGTTAGAGAAGAGGTCAAGGTTGCGGGAACACTAAAGGCAAAAGGTCAATGGGTTGGACATTGCGATTGGGTGTTCATGTAGTGTGGTAGTGGCGGCGACGACATGGAGGTTGTGGACAGTGAAGAGATGGCAAGCAATGGTTGTTTCTGGTTTAAATCACTTAATGGTGTTTAGGTAACTGAATAGAATTATATATCAAATGTATATTTTAAATACTTTAGTTAAATTATTATTATGATTATTATTATATTAAGTATTAATGATACATGATATATTCTAATGCACAGACATACATGTATACATAGAGATAGTATTTATTTAATTTAATACAATCATAATGGCCATATTGGCACAAATACACACACACACACACATAGAGATATAGAGACATAGTATTTTATTGGAGGCGAGCTGGGGCAATCAGAGAGGCATTGTGACTTTGGAATTTGTCGGTGCATTAATCAAGATGAGGTGGCGCGGGCCATTTGCGGGATGAGAAGGGGGAGAGCATTGGGGCCGGATGATATTCCAATGGATATTTAGAAGTATGTGGGTGGCAGTGGTTTGGTTTGGGTAACAAGGCTCTTCAATGTTATTTTTAGGACGAATAATATGCCAGATGGGTGGAGGGAGAGTTTGATGGTCCCGTTGTATAAGGCTAAGGGCGATATCCAAAGTTGTGACAATTTTAGAGGTATCAAGCTTCTTAGGCTCACCATGAAGGTTTGGGAGTGTATCATCAAGGCTAGACTACGGAAGGGGGTGTGCATTTTCGAGAATCAGTTTGGTTTCATGTCAGGTCGATTGACCACGGAGGCCATTTACCTATTGCGGCATTTGATGGAAAAGTACAGGGCTAGGAAAAAGGATCTACATATGGTGTTCAAAGGGGTGCCGATTGCATACATCGATGCAATTTGAGATATGTATGACAGAGTTAGGACATGGGTGAGGACTGTTGGTGGGACTCTGACCATAACATTTCGTTGTTGAGGTGGGGTTACACCAAGGATCTACACTTAGTCCCTTTCTGTGCTTTGGTGATGGACGTCTTATCGCAAGGTGCCCAAGGGGAGGTCCCTTGGTGCATGCTTTTTGCTGATGATATTGTATTGATTAATGAGACACAAGAGGGACTTAATGGCAAGGTAGAGTTATGGCACCTTTCCTTGGAATTGAAAGGTTTCAAGCTAAGTAAGACTAAAACGGAATGCATGGAATGTTGCTTTAGTGGTGGAGTGACCGACTTAGATGAGGAAGTTCGGATTGATTCCCACCCAGTGCCCAAGAGAGACAAGTTTCCTTACTTGGGCCCGATTGTACAAGTAACATGCTGATGGGGAGATAGACAAGGATGTTGCTCATCGTGTTAAAGCCAAAATTGTTACGGCGGTTATGTGAGTTTAGGTGCTAGGGTTCTAGGTGCTAGGGTACCTTCCAATAATATTTAAAGCGTACATAGGTACCCAAAAAAATAAGGAGTATATATTCTGAAACATATATACTCCGATGGAGCCAAAATTTCACAATTTTTGGCTTTGGGGTGTGATGGAGTAAATCAAAATAGATCTCTAAACTGTCTGCGCTTCTTTAATTAATGAAGTAACAGTTAGTCAAGCAATGCAACTTTCGACGTTGAGCCGGGGGTCTCTTTGGAAATAGCCTCTCTACTTTCGAGTAGGGGCAAGGTCTGCGTACACACACCCTCCCCAGACCCTACTCTTGTGGGATTCAACTGGGTTGTTGTTATTCTGAAACATATGAACAAATGTTGTTTTTTAAAAATTAAAAATTAAAAATATACTCAAAAAAATAAGTAAATACCCCGTAGTATTTTTTTCACAAGTTAGTAAGTTAGTGGGCTTTTTAAACTTTTTTAAAGTGAAATCAAATTTTGGGCCCAATAATCTTTTAATAAAGACCTATACTTCATAAGTGTAAAGGCCCACTACTCTTTTAATTAACTCAGCCCAAATTAGTTAACCTAAATAACTAGAGAGAGTCGGAGGGTTAAGAGGAAGCCGCTGGAGATCTCGCTACAATGAATTAGCATCGACGAGGAAGGTAAAGTCGATTTTCCTCCAATAGTAAGTCTCTCTCCCTTTCGTCTTCTTCACATCTTCCTCTCCTTCGTCCTCTCTCAGGCTTCTTCGTGTCATCTTCCTCTCCTGCGTTCCCACAAAAAAAAGCTAGGCGACGTGTTGGGCGTCCATAAAACCTCACCCCGTAGGCGATGCTTTGATAACTATGGTTAAAGTTGCTTGGGCCAAGTGGAAGTTGGCTTCAAGGGTACTCTGACAAGAAGATTTCGACAAGGATGAAAGGGAAGTTTTAGGTCTGTTGCCAGCCATGTTGTACGGAGCATAGTGCTGGGCAGTTAAGAAAATTCACATTCACCAGCTACATGTTGCTGAGATGCGGAAACAACGTGGCTTCTAGACTGAGGTGGTTTGGGCACGTGAAACAACGTAGTGCTGGCTCCGGTGCAGAGATGCAAGAGACTTTTAGTGGTGGGTGGGATTGTGGGAAGGGGTAGACCTTAGAGGACTTGGAAAGAGGTGGTTAGCCAAGACCTTAGACTTTTGGCCCTTACCGAGGATATGACCTTAAATAGGAGTGTTTGGAGAGATAAAGTTAAGGTCGTTGGGTAGTTTAGTGGTGGTTTTCGTGCTTAACAATGTGTGTTTCATTTGCTTGGTGCTTCTTGGCTTTTTTTTCTATCTTTTGTTGGCTTTATGCTTCTCTCTGTGTCTATGTTACTCGAGCTAGGGGTCTCTTGGAAACAGCCTCTGTACTTCCAAATAGGGCCAAGGTCTGCGTATACACACTCTCCCCAGTACCTCTGTGGGATTGCACTGGGTTGTTGTTGTTGCAACTGATTCTCCACCCATCTTGAAATAAAGATCCACATCTGAAGTAGACGCTTTTTTAAGAAAGTTGAAACCATGAAATGTGTTGCTAGAATTTATGGAGAAGAGATAGATAATACAAACCATACATTCTTTTCCTTAAACAACCTTCAAGTAGTTTAATATAATGACAATGGTTCTTAGGATATGTATAGGGATCAACTCCAGTAAGATGACACTTATGTTGAGATTTGTGAGATGACGAAGCATCTTTTGATAGTTTTACCCATAATGCAAAAGCCTAAGTCCATATGAGTGCAAAAGTGAGTGTTATTTTACCAAAATTTCAACCCCAAAAGTTAGGCGTTTGGCATTGCTTTTGGCTAGAAAAGCACTGTTAGCCACCCTATGCAAGGCCAAATGAAGCAGACCTAAGGTCCCTTTTATAGGACATCACAAGGTCACCTAAATAGATAATTCATCTTCTTTTGTTGTCAAAACACCCATTTTCAATTTGTATTTCAACAAATACTCAGGGTTTTTATGAAGTAGACTTATTTGTTATTCAACTCAATTTGTTCAATGAAGGAAGTGCAATTGAATGAGAGCATCTTAGAAAAATTAAGATTATTTTAAATGATTTTAATTCATTTGTTAATTCCTATGAAAGCCAAAGTCGATCTCTTTTCGTAAGATTGAGGAAGCATAATGGTTCACGTTTGTACAAGTTAGCTCTTAATGTTTTTGTGAAGTTCATATTGGTCTTAAGATACAACAACACACTCAATATAATCCCCAAGCTCCATGGGATATGGGGGTTAAATAGCAATCTTACCTTGGTGTTTTCCATTACACACTTGATGCCTTGTTGCATTTATTTATTTTTTGTTAAACCATTGATGCTTTGTTGCAATTATTTCCCAAAACATCATATTGAGTAAGAAGCAGGGGGTGCCATTTTGATTTAGTCCATTATTTATCCAAATATAACATTGTCAAATAACTTCATATTATCCCTATATGTTAAAATAACGACAACAACATGCCTAGTGTAATTATAACTTTGTAGGGGTCAAAATGTACACGAGGGATAAAAAACTAAGTGTGTGTTTCCATCAGACCCTTGATGCATTACAACAACAACAACAAACCTAGTAAAATCCACGCAAAGTCACAAAGTAGGGTTTGGGGAGGGTGAGTATACATAGACCCCTACTTGGAGATAGAGAGGCTTTAGAGCCTCTTCTCTTCGTCCGATCTGATTGATTCTAATATGAATTTATTAAGGTTTGATCTCATTTGATTCAATCTGATTTAAGTTAAAGTTGTACCTCGAGTTTATGTTTCTGATCTCATCTGATATGAATATTCCTGATCTGATTCCAATAAGTGTTGATGATTTTAGTATCATCGGCTATTTTGTGTGATTGTGTTTACTTAGATCAAACAAGAATTTGAATAGACGTTGTCAAACGAGTTAGGAGGCGCAGAGTGCACACTCGTTCAACGATATTACAAATTTATAGCGGGGGTTCGGAGGCGGCAGCCCCCCAGGAGTGGGGTCCAAAGACCGATTTTTACTAAGCTCTACAAACGTTAGCATCCAAAATTCGAAAGTCTGCAATTATCCCTACCGCGTGAAAGTTTGCAAACTTTTACCGAAAGATCTTGTCTGCTCGGTGATTTCATCTCTATAAATAGAGACGCTCGGGTATGGTTGAAGATACGATTCAAAAGGCTTGTTCTTGATTAACGTCTTATCTGATTGAAGTATTTCGTATACTCCGAAATAACTTTGATCTGAAAGCATTTTTACGCGATTCGTTATACTCTATCAAGTTATTCTTCTCATTCTTCTTTAACGCTGCTCCGCAGCGTTCTTCCTCCACAATATTTTCCTATAATAAGAATATGTAATACTACGTAAGTAATAAGAATAAGTTGAAGAGAACAAGCTCTTATTCTATTACACAATGGGAAAATCAATATGAAGAATGCCAAAGTAGGGTCAACTAGTGACAATCCAACTACTGACACCAGAAACCATGTCAACATCCATGCTCTCCGACACATACCAAAGGTTTTGTGATTTTTCAAACAAAAAACATGGATGTTATGGCTTTTTGTAGTTATTACCATCAATAAGAAATGCATATACACTTCAAAGACAACAATTACAACCTATTGAGGTTCCCCTAGTGGGGTCTAGGGAGCATGGATGTGCCACACATTACCTCTACAAATAAAGGTAGAGAAGCTCTTTTCAAAAGACCATTGGCTTAACACATTATAGCAATTAAATATGAAGAATGAATAGTAACAGTCACAACTACTGAATATAGAAAGAGCAAATAAACAACACCATACTAATAAACAAGCCTCTAAAAAGATATCCCTCTACAACTATCTCCATCCTAAAATGAACCAAAGTATTTAACACAAATGCAAGTGATGTGTTTTAAAATTTCAAAACAAAAATTAATCTTCAATTTTGTTTTTGTTTTTTACACTTAACATATTAAATTAATTATTAATCTCATATGGTGAATATGAACATTGAGGAAAACATTAAATGTCAACTTGCATGGAAACGCCAGGGACATATTTACGCCTAAAAATGTTAAGGGTTCGCAAAAGTTAAGTGCTTATTTCTAGATTCCCCCCTTATCTATCTTATCCTTGATCTCATAATGTTAATGAGTTAATTTGGTGGTTCTAGAAAAGATGTCTAATGTGTGTAGTGGGTTGTTGTCAATGATCTGTACCGCTATTATGCCATACATATTCAATATTGCTATGATTATTGTTTTTGTGCTGTGAATTATCTGTTGAATTGTTGGAAACTCTCCATTCTGCTTCTGCTGTATATAGTTTATTTGTGTCTTTTTTTATCAGTTTTTTTCAGATATGAGCATTGAATGGGATTATTTGATTTTTGTTATATTTTGGATTTACCTAGACTAATATTAGGTGTGTGATTATTCATCAGTTATTTTGCATTTTGCTTCATGCCTTGATATATGCTTAGAAGTTTATTTCAAGTAATGTGAAATTTGAATCTAGTTTAGTAAGTTTACTGCAGTGACTAGATTAGACTCCCATCTCAAGTTGAAAAAGTTTTTGTGTAAAGTGTATTTAATGAATAAGAAGAGTACAGAAAGAATGCAAAGTCTCAGACATACACTGATGTTTTCTTATCTGCAACAAAAAGTTTGTTGTGAGGCGTGATTTTTGTTTGTTATTAGCAAAGAGTGGTCATTGGATGACAGGCTTGTTATTTGTATAAGGATAGCGTGCCTATGGAGGGCTCAGAGTCTTTTCTTTGTATGGCGATGAGGGTGGGTTAGTGGACAAGAAGAGCCCATGGCTGACACTATTTAATGTTGAAGATCCAAGGTCCAAAGTTCCCCAATGTAAAGGTAAGTTCCTTGATGTAAACATTGCTTTAGAAGTGGCTCGATATGATCTACAGTATTGTGATTGGAGAGCTCGTCAAGATGTCCTTACAATCATGCTTCTGCACGAGAAGGTTGGTGTAAAATTATTTCTATTGGTTTTTATATAATATATAACTACTACTTTTGGCTTTGGGGGTTTGATTTGTTCTTTATATTTTAGAATAATCGAATGCAATTTTTAAATAAAGGTTGTCGAAGTGTTAAACCCTCTTGCCCGCGACTATAAATCTATTGGAACCATGAAGAAGGAACTTGCAGATTTGCAGGAAGCACTTGCACAAGCTCACAAGCATGTAATCTAACTAAGTTGAATCGTCTCTTGCTTTCAAGTATTTATTTGCTATGCAAATTGATTTATTTTTTTCTGTATTACCTTTGCATTCACATTCCTTTAATATAATATAGGGGAAGGTTCCCATGACATTGGGAACCAATGTCATGGGAACCAAGGTGTATAATATAATATCATGTTATTTCACTATTAATATAAATGGATCTCTAAACTGTTTGCGCTTCTTTAATTAATGAAGTAGCAGTTAGTCAAGCAATGCAACTTTCGACATTGAGCCGGGGGTCTCTTTGGAAACAGCCTCTCTACTTTCGAGTAGGGGCAAGGTCTGCGTACACACACCCTCCCCAGACCCTACTCTTGTGGGATTTAACTGGGTTGTTGTTGTTATGTTATTTCACTATTACTCTTATTTGCAAAGTACTTCAAACTAAAAATAAATGATGGATTTCATTGACAACGCGGAATGGTACAAGACTGGAAATTTTGTCAGGTGTACTTTGAAGAATCCTGACCCTCGTTTAAGGCTTAATGCGTTTTTCACTTGTATCATTGCTGAAAATTGAATCATCAAGAGCCAAGAACTTCTCTGCAGCTTGTTTTTTGTGTTTTTTCTGTCTTTTAATAAAGCACATTGTCTGTACTCTGTATAACAGGTGCACATGTCAGAGGCACGGGTTTCTGCCGCCTTAGATAAGCTGGCTTACATGGAATCAATGGTAAATGACAGGTTGTTGCTTGACCAGCACACAGCAGAAGTTGGTAGCTCTTCCCCTTCTCTTAGTGCACCTATAAGGCATTCAGAAAATGTTGAGAGGAAGATGCGTCGAAGAAGCCTAAATGTATCCGGTCCCATCCAAAATTACAGTGACCGTCTGATGAACTTCTGGTATCCTGTTGCTTTCTCCAGTGATCTTAAGGATGATACCATGGTAAATCTATTACAAGATACTCACATATTACTTCAGTTATATAAACATTATTTCAGCCACATTTTTCAAAAATCACAAGATTAAGTGAATTCTGCATAAATAGGGGAAAAGCATTTGATTACGGGTAAAAATATACTCAATGAAAAATTTACGTCACTTCTCTGAGAAAGTTAAGATATGAATAGAGATCTAACCCTCTGGATTTTATTCTTCAGTATATATTCATTTAACTCCATTATTTGTTTTTTAATTATGATGCTTCAGATGCCAATTGATTGCTTTGAGCAGCCATGGGTAATCTTTCGTGGGAATGATAGAAAGCCAGGATGCGTCCAAAACACATGTGCTCATCGAGCCTGCCCCCTTCATCTAGGTTCAGTAAATGATGGGCGAATACAATGTCCTTACCACGGTTAGAGAAAGAGTGCTTAGTAATTATTATGTTGATAAACAAATACTCCCTCCATTTCGCAACAGTGGACACACATTTGTTAACATCGAGTTTAAGAAAAGGTGTAGTGAAAGGGAAAAAAGTGGGGTGGGTGAAAGAAAAGGTTGTGAGAGGAAGAAAACATGGGGTAAGAGAGAAAAGGACGGGTAAGTGAGTAGGTTTATTGAATGTAGTTTACCAAAAGAAAGAGAAGAAACGGGATAAGTAATATGGAGTATGGAACAACTTAAAAAGGGAAAGCAATTTCAACAATGCAAAACTGTGGGAGTGTAAAATGAGTATGGATATCAGCAGTGTGTCATCTATTAAGAGTTTAGACTATTGAGTTAATCATGATTTTTGTTGGATTTAGGCTGGGAGTATGCTACAGATGGAAAATGCGAGAAAATGCCATCAACAAGATTACTAAATGTAAAGCTAAAAACATTGCCATGCTTTGAGCAAGAAGGCATGATTTGGATTTGGCCTGGAAATGATCCTCCAGAAGCTACAATACCTTCTTTAAAACCTCCCCCGGGATTTCAAATCCATGCAGAGGTTTGCAATCACTACTATCAGATTTCAATATTTTGTTTCTATAGTCCGTTTGTTGCTGGTGAATCCTTGTGTATTGAAAATGATAGATTGTCATGGAGCTCCCTGTGGAACATGGTTTACTATTAGACAACCTTTTAGATCTTGCACACGCTCCTTTCACCCACACTTCGACTTTTGCTAAAGGATGGAGCATACCAAGGTTTGCATTTATTGATATGTTTAAAACAAGTCATAATATGTCCTCTTGAAATACAACTTCAAACCATTATAATCCCAACTCTGTTGGGGTATGGGGCTCAAGATGTATGCAAACTTCTCCCTATAAAAACAGAGAAGTTGTTTCTTTTTGACCCTTGTGCATTGTTGCATTTAGTACCGAGACTTCATATGAAGTAAGAACTAAAGAAAGTTTGATGTGCCATTCTGCATTAGCCCATTATTAATGCGAAGCTAAATATTGCCAGTAACATAGAAATGCTCTTTAAAAACCATTTAATGAACTCTATTTAAATAATGATAATCTGGATAAGAACAACAACGACAACAATAATACGGAGTAAATACTTAATTTGTGAATGAGGCACTTCTCCGGCTCTCAAAATTCACAGTAACCCATCACGAATTAGAGTCTATCAATTTTTCTCAGAGTATATATACAAATCAGAAGTTTTTTTCTATAGTTAAAGCTTGAATGCATTGATTAATGATGCTGGTTTTTTCATATCAATTGTTGAACAAAAACATTGTATAAAGCGGCACTGTCAATGGAATTAGGTCAGTTTCACATATGTTGACTAGATTGACAAGTGAGATTTGGGGTTTCCTTCATTTTACTTATATTTGCTGTGCATTCTGTTTGTTTACATTCTATAGGGATAAGTTGCAGGGTTAACTTTTTATTTAAATAATTTAGGAATGTCAGTTCGTTGCAATAAACAGCTTTCTATTATTAAAAAAATCAGTCCAAGGCTTGAAACTGGTGTAATTTTGTGCAAAGTTTTCAGTGGTTATAGACAAAGGAGTTGCAATGCAGATGTAGTTTTTAATTTGAAGATAATGTCAACCAACTTGAAACTTTAGCTTCTCTATACAAAAATATCACTCAAAAGGCATTCGGTACAGTTCTGTGTGTTGTGCTCTCAACGATTTAGAAGGCATTCATAAGTAGGCTAACGACTATGGATCACCAAGAAACTTTATTTTTCATCCTTAAAAAGACACCATCTATAATAGATGAGGTTTTGCCATTTTGCCTTTTGCCGATTTTCTCAAAGTTTTGTGCATCCAGTAAATATGTCAGACTTTTCAGGAAGTGAAAAATTAAGCAATGGCCTAGATGTCTCCACATTCTCTTTGCACCTTCCACACTTCCTGGAGTTGAGATAATTTGTGCTTAACTTTTTTCTCTGTTCATTCGTTGGCTTTCTCAGCTTGGTGAAATTTTTTACTCCTGAATCTGGTCTACAAGGACACTGGGATCCATATCCGATCGACATGGAATTTAGACCACCCTGTATGGTGTTATCTACTATTGGAATATCAAAGCCTGGAAAACTGGAGGGGCAGAATACCAAACAGTGTGCTACACACCTTCACCAAATGCATGTGTGCTTACCTTCGTCCACACAGAAGACTAGGTTATTATACAGGATGTCTCTGGATTTCGCGCCGATGCTCAAACACTTCCCCTTCATGCAGTATTTGTGGAGGCACTTCGCTAAACAGGTAAAATTTTATTCTGTACACAGGAAATTGCTATTGCAGTGTCTACGGCCTCCTTTGTTTTAACCTTTGGTGTGAGTTGAAAAACTGTACATGAAATTTTCCTCACGCCACAGCTTGGTGTGTCTTACATGCATTGCGGCGGTGTGGTGAGGGGTGAACTTCTTACAACAGTACATTTCGTTATTTTTCTCTTAAATTTTGTTATTTTTCTTTTTTCTTTTTATGTTTTAACGCAACAGTCTCTTCAATTTTAAAAAAACAAAAACTATCACTTATGGAAATATAAAATTACTATCTATAATATTATTAATCAAATTCAAAGTTGTGTTTCACACTTTCACCTCAACGTTCTATTACTAAACTTAATGCAAGAACCATCTTTTTTTCCCCTGCTCCGCTCCGAATTCTCAAGTATAACAAAGGGACCCTACATCTCTTAGATATTTAGAGGCTTTATAACCCTGAAATCCAAGCTGGCAAGTCATGTTCTCCAGGCAGAGCATATCTACATTTGTTCTTAGGCAGCAACATTTCATTGTATGACCATCTCATTAGTGACTATGGGGAGCCTGTGTGAACATTTAGCTCTGTCATTATCCATTGAAGCCAAAACATTCAGTAGTTCTAGTGGGACCACTTTTTTAAGCAACCAAATGGCTTGAGTTGTTGGAATTTGCACCTCATCTATTTGCCAACTGGGATTTTTTTCACATGCTCCACGGCGTACTAGACGGGCACATTTATTTTGGGCTTTAAAGGCATTTTATGACTTGATATCCCTCGGTAGTGGGTCTTTCCCCAAGACATTTTGAAACTTCTTTTACAAGTCTTCGAGTATTCAATTAAGACATTTATAGAGTATGAATGTATTGAGATATGTTTATATTGTCTGAGATACTATACATTAATGTATTTATATTCTCGTTAAGACTTCCAACCCTATCATGAATCTAAATTTCACAGGGATTTCATAGGCGAAATATAATGCCAAATCCCACTATCAAATCTTACTACATTTACAGGTCTTGAATGAGGATCTGCGGCTTGTGATTGGGCAACAGGACCGCATGATCAATGGTGCTAACATCTGGAATCTTCCGGTCTCGTACGACAAGCTAGGAGTAAGGTATAGGTTATGGAGGGATGCTCTAGAACGCGGTGCTGAACATTTACCTTTCCAGTAGATGTGCATTTCACAGCCAAAATAATTTGTCACTTGCCAAATTACTTCTGAAGCTCTACTTCAAGGGCAACATCCTAATTCCCAAGCTCGGTTTTGAGACGAAGCGGCAAAGCATAAATGCAGCTATTATTTGACCGGTACACACGGCTGCGCAGTTAAAGGGACTGCGCCAAGTCGTATCGTTTGTACTCTTTTTTGAACAAATAATTCTTCACCATATTTGCCCACCTCCTTTTTGGCTCCCAACTGCTTTGCTTTAGGTGCTAAATTTCGCATAGAAATGGCAAATGGAAATTTTAGCTGTTAGCTTTGTTGTGTTTTTTCTCTCCCACTTTCCAACAAATTACCCAGCTTGGGTTCGGCTTAATGGGTCCAACAACTCATATTAAGTGCATGGACAAGGGTGGAAACGGTTGTAAATTGTTACACTCGTATTTCATTACACATTATGTAAATATTACGGATTGTAATGTACGGAGTATATATATATATTATCTAAATCGTCCTTTACTTTTGGTGATTTATCTTATAAAAAATGTGTGTAATAAGAACATTTACTCTTGCCAGGAAAAGATTTTTCCACACTTTGTGGGGGACTTAGGGCTCAGTCTTCCACTATCCCGATTACAATTCAAACAATAAAACTATTTGATTCTAATAATTATATGGTATATTAATTAGATAAAATAATATTTTTAAAATATATTACAAGATCAATATACTAAAATTGTTCTTGTATAAGTACCAGTATGCAACAGAAATTTTACTTTATTTAATTCATGATCTAAGTTTATTAATTTTGATTGCAAAAAGTCAAAATTATACAAATTCTACAGAGTAATATATACCACATTTACGTCTCACTCAAAATTTTGAAACTTACAAACAGCCGTGTTCTGTAATTAAAAAAAAACAACAATTAAATCTTACTCCCTTTGTGCTAATTTAAATTGCTTATTATAATTTATGATATCTGACTAAAGTTATTTTCAATGTAATTTATTAGAGAATTGGAGCAAAAATAAAAAATTACTATTTACATATTAAAAGATGAGGGCCGGCCCTGGGGGTAGACATATGGGTAAAGGGGCGGCCGCCTAGGTCCCATTTTCTAAAGGTGGCCTATAATTAATTTTTCTGCAATATTACTAGTAATTACTGTTGCAAAAAATAATCAGTTTAATTTTTAAACTTCTAATTTTAGGTGAAGATATGAAAAAAAAATATGACCTATTCAATCATTTTAATTCATCAAGTGATATTACTCTTTTTTAAATAACTTGGACATATTTTCAATTTTCTACGCCTAAAAATATTTTTCTTGTCAAATACTCAGGAAAATTTTATCATTTGATCATTTTTGACCCAAATAATTGAGAGAAGTTTGTTAATAAAGTTATTTTTTGAATAATAACAACTCCATTAAAATGTAGTATCTGTTCATACATTCTTAACCAATTGGAGGACATAGAGTTAATTATTCTCCCTGTCGGGAATCGAACACATAACCTCTATTGAAAGAGTCATACCAATGCCATCGGACTATACAATTATTAATGGGTAATTACTCTACGTATTTAATGAGTTGGGAATGTATGAACAGGTACTACATTATAATATAATTATTAGTGTTCAAAAAATACTTAATTTCTTTCTAAAAGTGTTGACAAACTAGTTTTAAAGTACTTCGTAATTATTATTTTTATTATTATCATATGTTTTTTAAAATTTTATTTTTGAGATTAATTTTAAAAACCATTATAAGCCCATTTTTCTAATTGGCAGGTTCAAATTTCAGGGCCGGTCTTGTAAAAATCACATAAAAATTTTTACTAAACAAATGTGACATGATTATATTATTTTATCAAACGAGTAACAAAAATAGAGAAAAAAGTAAATAAAGTTGAACTTTGTAAATCCTGTCGACGGCAATAGTACTTTCTATCATTCAAAATTTTATAGGATAAAGCTGTTTGTACCCCATTTTGTAAACCGCAGGGATGCACCAACATTTTGTGTTGGTGTAATGCTAATTTTTGTTAACGCACCAACACTTTGTATCAGTGTAAATATTTGTTAACGCACAAACACTTTGTGCCAGTATGAACCATCAAAATGTTGGTACATACCTTTGGTATACAAATGATGTAGAAATTTTGGGTAGATGTAGCATGTTTCATTTTTATATGGCGTAGGTATGATTGTAACTAGGCAACGACTTTGGGGACAATTATTGCTTGGTGTGGACCATGTGCTCTAGCGCACAGTCCCTCATCGTTAAGTTTTGATTACTCCTATTGTGATAATTTTTAGGAGTGATTTAGTGGGAAGACAAGGGCTAGACGGTAAAAGAATTTTTGTATTGGTAGAATTGAATTGTCTCTGAAGCTGACTTCTTTCTGATCTCGACAAAAGTTGTCTATATCAGTAACAAGTGGCCAGCTTCACAGACAATTCACCTATTCCATTACATTAAGCTCTTTTAAAATAATAAAGTTTTGTTACTTCCCACATCCAAAAATTACAATTTATACTTTTCTTTGCCAAATGTCCATTTTTTAATTACATTTTTTAACACTCTACTATGAAAAGCATTATGTGAGGCACAATATTTTCTCTTCTAAAAAATTTAAACATCTTTAAATTAATACGGAGTACTTTATTGCATTCGGCTCATCTTGCAAGTATCGATCAGAGAATACTTTTTAAAGTGTTAATATACCTTTTTAAAGTGTTACTCCGTATTCCGTAAAGTCCTTCTCCATATGATAAAACATATTCCCCTCCCAAATTAAAGTGCATGTTTAATATTCACACGGCTAAATTTCATTTTTTATTACTCATTTGATAAAATGATAGTCATGTCAACTCTTGTTTAATACGAGTAGCATATTTATATAGTTTTTTAATATGTAAATTTTATTTTTTCATTCCACTCGAATTTTCAAATAAATTGAACTGAAAATGACTTCAATCAAACATTGTAAATCGAAATAGGTGATTTAATTTAATTCAGATTAAACATGCTTTTATGTGGATAGAGAAAGATCAAGGGAAAAGACTAAAATATGAGTAAAACATTGAAAATATACCGAAATAAGAGTTTCATATTTTTATTTCCAAAATAGGAGTTAAAATGCATTTACATTATCAATCATGACCATGTCCATTAAAAAAAAGTATTACAAAATACTCGTGTACAGTGCTACAATACCACAATGCGAACTCCTATTTAGAAAATAGAATATATAACTCCTATTTTGGTACTTTCTCTATGTTTATTTCTATTTAGAGTGATTTCTTAAAGATAATCAACAAAGGTATCCTTAATATGTAATAGTGTAATTATAAAACTATTTCATCTCACACAACTAACCTATAACATTCTCGCGATTGAGGTAAATGGGAATCTAGTTGGTCAAATTACTGCAGATGATAGTATTGATTTAGATATATGGAAATTATCGATTGTCTGTTGCATTTTGGGGGCTAACCCACCTATCGATGTCGTTAAAGGATATGTTAATTGTATTCCCTATCAATGATGTGGATGTGCTCAAGGAAGGACATTATATTGTTACCTTCAACAAAGAAGAAGATATGAAGGAAGTAATCAAAAGGAAATATTATTATTTTGACAACAAATCAGTACTTGTCCAACAATGGAAACCAAGAAAGAAGATTAATGTTGAAGAACTTTCTGATGTCCCAATATGGGTGCAATTTCCTGAACTGGATGTTAAGTACTGGAGTCTCTCGGGTTTAAGCAAGCTGGGTAGTCTCATTGGGAAGCCCGTAAAGAGGGATAAAGCAACAACTAGGAAATCCAAGTTTGCTTTTGCCATAATTCAAATTGAGGTTCGAGTTCATTAGGACTTCCCTAAAGAAGTTGTGTTTATAAATGAAAAAGGGAGAGCTATATCCCAACATATTGACTATGAATGGTACCCATGTATTTGTGATCATTGTAAGAAGCTAGGGCACCTACAAGAGACGTGCACGAAAAAGGAGGTCAAAAAGCATGGAGAGAATCCAAGAAGAATGGTATGGAGGCCAAAGCAGAATAAGGTAATTGAGGAGGAAGATAATTCAAAGGATGGTCAAAAGGAGGGTATTCAAGAAGAGGAACCTACCCACACAGAAAGCAATCCAATAGAGGAGGGATTTACCAATGTTAGTGGAAAGAAAGCTGCGAGGAGGATTATATTAGAAGATGAAGGAGACATGCTAAGTAGTCTTAAAAAAGCCTTAGAGAAAGCCCATTATGAAGGGCATCTCCCATTCCTGAAATGATAGGGAGCTGGATTGTGAGAGGACTAAACAGTCCTAATAAACAGGAGGAAGTCAAATTTTTCTTAAATAAAAATAAGGCTGAAATATTTGGGTTATTGGAAACTAAAATAAGGAGTTGCAACTTTAGTACTATAGAGAGAAAGACGAGTCAGGGGTGGAATTATGTTGTTAATAATTCAGCTCACCCCTGGGTATAATATGGATTTTATGGAGACCTGATAAATTGAAGGTTGATGTAGAGGGCTTGACAGATCAATGGGTTCACTGCAAATGTAGAAGACTTAGTGAAGTAATTGAATTCTATGTTACCTTTGTGTATGGACATAATGAGGCTGCTAGAAAATGTAGTATGTAGAATGATCTCATGGGAATTGCATCCTCGTTTGACAACCCCTGGTGTGTTATTGGGGACTTCAACAATACTTTGAGTATGGGGGACAAGACTGGTGGCAATCCAGTCTCATTAGATGAGACCATGGAGTTTAAACAATGCATCTAAACATGTGGATTGGAGGAATTCCCAAGATGTTAAATATACTTGGTCTAATAGGCAAGACCCAAGAAGAAGGATCTTTTCTAAGATACATTGGACTTGGAAACATAGAATGGTTCAATACGTTTGATGCTAAGGTCATCATTAAGGAAGAAGAATTATCAGATCACACTCCCCTACTGGTAAAGGACTGCTCCACTGGGAGAGAGAATTTTCCTTTTAAATTTTGTGATATGTGGTGTCTGAACCCTTTATTTACCAAGACTGTCCAGAGTGTTTGGAATCAGAAGATGGAGGGAAGATACATGTTTCAGCTATCAAGCTAAGGATGCTGAAACCATTGTTGAGAGGGTTGAATAAGAGTAAATTTTCTCACATTTACCAACAATGTAATTTACCGAGGGAGGAATTGCTCCAAACACAAGAGGCAATTAAGCTGAACATGAATTGTGAGCATCTAATCACAAAGGAGCTTGAATTAATTAAGGAACTGACATGAAAATTGAAGGTTGCAAGACTTATGAAAATTCAACAAGCTAAACAAGAATGGGCCTAGGAGGGAGATAAAGACTCAAAACTTTTTCAAGCTTGGATTAAGAAAAGGAAGCTTAAAAACTATATCAGTTCTATTAAGGATTCAAATGGTCATCTGATTGAAGGGAAGACAAATATTACAGGTGTGATGGTGGATTATTTCTAGAAGTTATTGGGTAAGACTGAGTGGACAGCAGGCATCCTTAAGGAAGTTATTGAGGAAGGTAAGATGCTATCAGTAGA